TTGTAGGTGGTGGGTCACTGAGGATGATCGTTGCAACGGTGGAGGCAGTGATCGAGCTGAGAATGCTATAGTAAGTGTCGCCACCGGTGACGAGGTGATGGGGCAGTCAATGGGTTAATGAAGGGGTGGCGACAGGGTGACGAACATAGTGGCGGAGGGAACGAGTTCCAGTGGTGAATGTGGCAGAGGTTGGTTGTGAGGGTGGTGTGGCTGGTAGGGGTGTGCATTGAGAAATAGATTTAGGCATAAAAATGTAATTTTCTCAAGACGTAAAAATGTAATTAAAAAAATTATGATGATAATAGGTATTGAGATAAAGAGTAGTGTGTAAATAGAATTTCCCAAAGAATTTATAAGCCATAAAATATGCAAAGCATATTCACATGCTTTATGCTTAGTAATAAATTTATGAATTGAAATTTGTATAGAAAATATTATTGTGGGTATATCAAGATGGACCATCTTGGTTCAGACAATACAAAATTAAGTCGGTAAATAAAATTTGACAAATGAGCAACACAACATTTGAATTTCAAATAACATTTTGTGACAAACTAAAGGAGCTGCTAATAAAAATAAAATAAAATAATGATATACAACTGCTCACAAATAACATTTTCTTTTCACTGATTAAATTTAATTTCATGAGATTAAAGAAATAAAAGATAACATGAAGGCTAACAAAATTTCTTTCTTTAATATGTTCCCCCTATTGTTTTAAACCGCGAAGTTAAAGTTATTTTCAATATTCATAAAAATGTAAAAAAAATAATTAATTTTTTTTAAAAATTTTTAATTGTTTTTGTGGGTAGGTATATCTACCCATCAAACTTATCGAAACAATGGCTAAATACGCAATTTACACAGAAGCAAGGCCAAGGATGTGTCATCACAAATACTTTAAATGCCTCCAGCAATAATTCTTTATATATATATATATATATATATTTGTGTATTTATATGGATTTCTTAAAATTGATACAGTAAGATTTTTAACTAAGGTATTTGGTAAGAATAATTATCATGCTGAATCCTTATTAAAATAATTTATAAATAACAAGTATTGAACACCCACAAAATTATTATTCTTAATAATATCTTTGTTTGTGATTGAATTTGGTTAATTTAAAACTAACTTTTATACTAATATATATTTCAGATAAACTCTGGATAAGTTAATTAATTAATTAATTATTATTATTATTTTAGAATAATTAAATGCGGGTTTTCACGTTGACGTAGTCAATTTCATATTCGGATGCCGAGAAAGCCTTCAATTAACAGAACAAAGTAGAATTCTAAACAGATATTCTTACAGCTAATAGATAGGAATGCAAAACACATACAAAATGCACAATTAACACATAATCTCATTCTTAAAGCTTAATTAGCATTCTTAATCAGGGATTATTATCTAATTTCATATTGGGGTTATTATACAAGACCTACTCAAAACTCGACCCGAAGTCCAGCTCACCTGAGGTCCAATGTCATTTTTAGTAGAGAATAGGGGTGGGCGCGGGTCGGTTGCGGCCACGGAACCTCTAATCCGCTATCCGTCCGCCAGATTGACAGATTAGAGAAAATCAATCCGCATCCGTCCGCCAATCCGGCGGATGTAGATTGAGCGGATTGGCAGATGGATGCGAATCGGTTTGGCAGTTTAAAATTTTATAAATTTTCAACATAATTCAACTTGTGCACTTTCTCAAAAAAAAAAAAAAAAAAAGAGAAAATATTACAGTCAATGACTTAAAAAAGTATTACAATCATTGTATGCCTTATCTACAGAAAGAAAGTTTAAAACTTTAGAATATCACGATCACTGCATGCCTCATCCACATATTATAATCACAGCATGATTCATCCACATAAAATATTACAATCTGTGGTTCTTAAAATATAATAACAATTCAAACCACCAAAACCATGAACAGAACAGTAGGAGAGATTGTATGTCTCTGTATTGTTACATATATATATGTTTTTGAAAATAAAAACCAACCAGCATATATCATATTTTCTATTTATTATTTTTAGATTTAGATTTAAAAACCAAAAAATATAGATAAATAATACGTTTATTTTTTTCAATTCAAAAAATACATTCAAGTTGAAAACTTTTTTTCAACAGAATATTTAAATTCTTTTTCAATTGAAAACACAAACATAATATTTAAACAAATTGAAAACACAAAATCTTATAAATTACTAGGGGTACTCGTGGTTTGACGGCTTGGCGGTTCGGTTGCGGCCAAATAAATCTCAAATCCGCCATCCATCCGCCAAATTGGCGGATTGGAGAAAATCAATCCGCAACCGTCCGCTCGTCATCAAGCATCCGTCCAAAATGCGGCGGATCGGTTCGGTTCGGTCGGTTTTGACTGATCGGTATATCCGTTGTTCACCTCTAGTAGAGAAGAATAAAATTTTGATAGAAAAATCAAAAAAATATATATATATTCAGGCCAAGCTCGCCAACTTGCTCAAGACCCGAACACTCATTGAACATAATTATTTAATCTGTGAGTGGGCTCGACCCAAATTTTAGAAAGAGCCCGAATGATGCGACATGAATCGATTAGAGGCCAGGTCTAATTTACACACCTAAGGTCTTGTTTGGCATGATTTAAAATTTTCAAAAAGTCACTATCCTATTTAAGTCATATCATCTTATTTAATTCATACCACATTTCTAACACATCACTTCAAATTTAATCCATACCCAAATCGTATTTTATAAAAATTTAAAAAATACACCTATTTAAATTATCTCAAACCACTCAAAAATAGTGGCCTCGTTTGGAAAGTGGTTATTTTAGTAGGCTATTTTAGTTTTTGGCTATTTTAAGCCTCCGTTTGGGAAGTGGGTTGGCTTTTTGGCTTTTTGGCTTTTTTGGCTATTTTAGCCTGGGCTTAAAAACTTGATTTGGGAAGGACTTTTTGGCTTTTTGGCTTTTTTGAGTTTTTTTGTGAGAGAAGAATGTAATGATTATGAGTTGGATGTGATGTTTTGTTTGTTATGACTAAAATAGCCTATTTTGTTTTTTGTGGCTAAAATAGCCAAAAAAGCCTAAACCATGACTTCCCAAACGAAGCCTAAGTAGGCTAAAATTTTTGTATTTGGGAAGATGATTGGATTTTTTTGTGGTTGGATGTGATGTTTGTGAGAGAAAAAGTGAAATGATTATGGGTTTGATGTGATATTTTGTCTTATTAACTATTTTAACTTATTTTGTCTTTTTGTGATTTTTAACCTAAATTTAACTATTTTTTTTCTTCCCAAACACCCCCGGTGTATGGCCACGTGAAATCTAAGGACAAATCAATAATTTTTCTTAAAAAATAGACTTTGATATTATTTTTCGTACAGTGACTTGGTTGATTAATTTACACAGTAAAAGAGATGATTGTGTGTGATAACTTTATTTTATCAATCACGCATTTTTGAAATCAAAGGAGGCTCCAATTCCTAGAAATGGAAAAGTAAAGGGCCCACAATCCAGACTCCAGAACTCACTCAGAAAAGGCCAACCTCTGTCCACTCTCCATGGCCAGCATCTCTCTCTCTCTCTCTCTCTCTCTCTCTCATGTGATTGTCTCTGTTCACACTGCACAAACACGACACTTCCCAAAGTAAATCCGAAGATCCCCAAATTCAATTCTCTCTCTCTCTCTCTCTCTCTCTCTCAGTTCATAGTTGAAACTGTCGGTAACTGAAGGGAAAGCTGAAGGACCGAAAAAGGGAGAGACTTTGCAGAGAGAGATTGTAATCCAATGCCCTCCGGCCGGCCACTTTTTTTGCTCTTCTATAGCTCTCTCTGCTTGTTTGCTGTTGTTGCTTTAGCTGAAGACCCATTTGTGTTCTATGATTGGACTGTCTCCTACACCACTGCCTCTCCACTTGGTGTTAAGCAACAGGTTTCTTTCTCTTCTCTCTCTTCAATTCTCTACCTGTTTTTCTTTATTTTTTTAAATTTATAATATATATATATATATATATATTCTTTCTGTTTGTGGCTAATAATAATATAATCAAGTTGGGGAAGGAACAAAGTTATGTCAGTGAACTTGGATTTGAGATCTTTAGAAATTAACTGAGTAATTAAATTCTTATTATGGGTAAAGATCAAAGTATGATAGGTCTCTACAATTGGGCTTTAGGGTACTAATTATTTGTGAATTTTGTACTTTTTTGAGTCCCTTGTCTTCTTGTTAATCCTGAAATCAATAGATGCATGAGAAGGATTGTTCATGGTTGCACATAGAGTCTTCAATGCTTCATGTAAATGGCTCATTTTGGATGACCCGTGTACGAGGCTCCGGAAGGTAAGATGTACGCAATCATAACCCATTTATAGAGGCGTCTGATTTCTCTACCATGGATTTCGGTATATAATCTATATCCCCTCAAATGGAGTTGAGATCCTCTCCTTGAGCTCCCTCCTGGCATCCCTACTTGCTGTTAGAAATGTTTTGAAAAAATCTGGATAAAAATAGAACTTTCGTTTATTTTTTAGGTGGGACCCGTGCGCCGGGTGTAAATGGTAACACGTTCTATGCCGCGTTTTGATTCACGTGGTATATTCGGTTGCTTAAAACCATTATCGGGTGAATAAAAAATTGAAGCCAAAGTGAGCTCCGTAGAAATAGAGTTTTGGTGGAAATTTTTAAAGAGTTAAATAATGGCTTGTCCCACATTGATTTGGTGAGAAGTTTTGAGTGGGTGTATAAGGCTTGAGTTTTGAAACTTGGGCTAGGCCCTAAGGGGCACCCAAGTTTTGTAGAAAGGGAGGTTATGGGCAAAATAGGCTAGACCCATTGGATCCAAAAATCGCCACACTCGCCACCGCCCTCCGTCCGATCGGGCAGGCTAGGCTTGGGCGCGAGTGCATTGTGTGAGGTTGGATTGGGTTGGGCTTATCCGACCCAATGCTAATCGTTTTGAGTCAAAAATATTTGAATTTTATTTTATTTTTTGGTAAAATAAAATTTCTGTCCAGAATTCAAATTAATTCCGAAAATAATCAGTTCCGATTTTTGCCTACATCCAAACAGGTCCCTACAGTTTTTATCTGTTCAAATTTTGAACCCAATAGACTTGTATCTGTTTATTCAAACTGAACAGGTATCATACTTGTTCAAACAGGTTTTGCACCTGTTTAATTCAAATTGAAAAGCCACCACTACATCTATAAATAGGCAGCCCTCATTTGATGTTTGCATTCAGATTTCGTATTTCACTTCTGTTATCTATATTCTTCATCTTGCTGCATTTTATTTCCGAAAGAAAGAGTGTAAACACTTAGTGTGTTCGTTGTGCGAATAAATTGTAGTGCTATATTTATTCGTTGATTGATCATTTTATCCTGGGAAATAGACATCCATATTCTGAAAGCACTGTGGAGAGGACAAATCTGTCTGAAGGACACAGTGTCTAACACTAGACCAGATCAGAATATTGTACAAGAAATTAATAATCAAGTAAGTTAATTCTTTTTCTATTTTATTATTATTTATTTAAATCAGATTTTGATTTTGTTTTTGTAATAAAATAATAATCTTTTTTTATTTATTTATTTTTATTTATTAGTTTGATTTTTGTAATCAAACATTCTCTCTCTTTTCCTATTTTCTTTTGTATTATGTTTGTCGTTTAGTATCCAAACAGAATTAATTTATTTAAGTACAGTGAAGATTGTCCAACACTTGCAACAGTACAAATGCACTTTGAGTTGATCTAATGGTTCATATTTGACTATTTAAAAATAAAAAATAATAATAAAACAAATTCAAATTTGCTTTTCCCACCCAAATCTAGACCATTAGATCAACTCAAAATGTATCTCCACCATTGCAAGTAGGGAGGCAAGGAGAGAGCACAAGGAGAGGATCTCAACTCCCTCAAATGACATAGTTTTGTTTTAACTTTAAACATAGGCTATTGGATGAGTTTTTTTTTTATAAATATTTTGAAAAAAAAAAAAATTATTTAGAGAATTGACCTATTTTTTAAACTATTTGGGAAACTAACTTACTTTTTGAAATCGCATTTTAAAAATGCGATTTTGAAATTGAAATTGCAATTGCATTTTCAACATGCAATTTCACCTTGAAATTGCAGGTTGAAAATATAATTTATGATGACATGGTGAAATAGCATGTTCAACATGTGATTTCAATGTGAAATTGAATGTTGAAAATGCAATTTCAATTTCAAAATCGCATTTTCAAAATGCGATTTCAAAAACAGGTTAGTTTCCCAAATAGTTTGAAAAGTGGGTTAATTTTCTAAATAGTGTTTTTTTAGAATATTAAAAAAAAAAAAAAAACCCGTTGTTGGATTACCACAACAAAATCAATCATTGCAGAGAAATCCATTGTCGAGAAATTGTGTTCCTTTATGGGGAGGTTGTTTCCACGGCTTGATTTAAAGCCACCAAGACGCTAATGGCAAGCCTTACTGTTGTTCAGTGCATTGGGTTTAGACTGACCAAATGAACAATGGTGGAATGGAGCTTCCTTAATTAGTTGATGTCTTATATAATAGCCTCATTACTATTTCAAGATTGCATGTCCATTATCTGTTGTTCAATGTTTTCAATCTGATCCAAACAAGTGCAGTTTGCTGCCACTTGGTTGTTTTCTTCCATATTCTGGTTGGAACTTTCTTCTGGCTTCTTCGCTACTAGCTGAAGGATTTTCCACAGAAGTATCACTAGTAAACTTTTCAATCCTTGATTGTCATTGTAGTGTTTGGCAATTTAAACTAATACTCGGGCCCCGTTTGAGAACTATGGTTTTTAGCTAAAAAATTATTATAAGTTATCACATCACTCTTTCTACTCTTCTACACATTTTTTCATAAAAAAGTTAAAAGCCAACTAAAATAACCAATTCCCAATTGGGGCCTCATTGAGATATATGATTCTCTAGTATCTTGTGATTAAATTCAATCGGTGATGTGACATGAAAACTTATTCTGGCAAGTTTCAAAATTAAACTAGCGTTATCGTACCTGAACAATTTTCTTTAAAGCAGGCCAATTATTATTATTATTTTTTTTTTCCTTTTTGTCGTTTGATTCAAACTGATTATTGCTTACCAATCTGTGCATATTGTTTGTAGTGTAGTTTTTTAAATCAGGAAATTTAGAATGAGCATCGACTTTTCATATGGTCATGATGCAAGTGGCAGTTATGTGAATATGTTTACAAACCAATTCGTAACTACATTTTACATACAAAGCAATATTTTATTAGGATTTCTCTATATAAAGCTCAAAACTCACGCCAAATATTTTTTTTATGCCATATCTGAAGAGCTTCATATGAATTCATTGATATCAGATCTGAAGAGATTCATATCGATTCATTGATGAAATATGTTAATATGAAAAATGAAGCTAGTGCATAATCTACTTTTAGAAGGATTACGGAATTTACTATATGGCTCTCACATTGGGAGGCTATAACACTTGCAACATGCATTTTTCCTTAGAGGAGTGCTTGGACTACTATTTCTTCGAGCCTTCAACTCCCATAAAACATTTAGAGGTGACATGTAGGAAATAAAATTTTCTTTCTTTTTGCCCTTTTCCCCACACTGCAATTTCAAAATGTGCTGTTCATACAAGAAATGCATCTTTGCCCAACTTGGTTACCCATTTAACCCATGGTATAAAAGGTTGAACAAATATTCTGGCACACGAACTAATGCCATGATTATTCTGTGACTTTCTATTCAATCCTTCTATCTTGTATTGTCCTTGAAGTTTCCATGATATATTTTTGTTTCACTTTTAATGCTATGATATTGTGCATACTTTTTGTTTCAAGGTTTCTATACTTATGAATTGTGTGCTATCAAGTTGATAGTATTTTGGCTGCTGATGTCTATTTAACTCCATAATTCTAGGTGATTGGAATTGACGGACAATTCCCTGGACCCATTCTCAGTGCCACCACAAACTGGAATGTTGTTGTAAATGTCAAGAATAATCTCGATGAGCCATTCCTTATCACATGGTATAAGTGTACTACAAAGGGTTGACACATGGCAAGTAATTATAATTGTAATGTTAATTTCACTAATCTAATTGCAGGAATGGCATACAGCATAGGAAAAATGCGTGGCAGGATGGTGTCTTAGGGACTAATTGTCCTATCCCTTCTGGTTGGAATTGGACATATCAATTTCAGGTTAAAGATCAGATAGGGAGTTTCTTTTATTTTCCCTCACTAAACTTCCAAAGAGCTGCGGGTGGGTATGGAGGAATCATCGTAAACAACAGAGACGTCATAGCAGTACCCTTTGGAACTCCAGATGGAGATATCACACTCCTTATTAGTGACTGGTACATAAAGAGTCATAAGGTCTGTGTAGATGGTCTGTTGCTCACTCCTTTTGGTGAATTCTCGCTATATTTTAGTTGGTTTAATAGTGGTTATTGACAAATGCTTGTGGGGTAACAGGAATTAAGGAAAGATGTTGAAAAAGGAATTGACCTTGGAGCCCCTGATGGTATCCTCTTTAATGGGCTAGGTCCTTATCGCTATGATGCAGCACTGGTTCGTGATGGTATTGCTTAACTACCACCTCCATTTCACCTACTCCTTACCTACTACACACTCACCCTCTTCTATATATAGGAATCATGAATCATTGTAATAGATATCAATATCAATATAAATCAATCAATAATATACATCAATTTTTCTTACATATTTAGTCCTTAGTTCTGTGATTCAAATTACAATTAGCAAGAAATATATTTTTGTATGAATATCCAAAATCTTCTTATCAAAGAAATTCTTGGGAAGAAAATCATTAGGAGCTTGTAAAGTATCACTCCTAGAGGCATTTTCAACGTTGCCATTTTATTTTTTAATGCTAAAAATAGTTCAAATTTTCTTATTGCACTTTGGCTGATAATTAAATGTTGATTGTTTTATGTAAACCAGGTAAAACATACCGCCTCCGGGTACACAATGTTGGCATCTCTACAAGTTTGAATTTCAGAATCCAGAATCATAACTTGCTTCTGGTAGAGACTGAAGGGTCATACACAGTTCAGCAGAACTATGCAAACATGGATATTCATGTGGGTCAGTCATACTCATTCTTGGTCACCATGGATCAAAATGCTAGCAGTGATTATTACATTGTTGCAAGTTCACGGTTTGTAAATTCATCTGCTTGGGCTAGAGCTACAGGAGTTGCAATCTTGCACTACTCCAATTCTCAGGGGCCTGTTTCAGGTCCTCTTCCAGATCCCCCTAATGAATACGACTCATTTTTCTCAATGAATCAAGCAAGATCCATAAGGTTACTGTTTTTCTGTTTGCATAAATATGGGAAATCTTCATAAGAATGTTACTGGCCTCCCCAAAGATTTGATGTAACATTAAAATTGCTTGACCCATGGTTTTAATGTTAATCGAATCTTGAATTTAGGATTTTTGGTTGTTTACCTGCTGAAGGTTATAAAATGCATAATCATGGGAGGCAAATGATGCTATGTCAGAACTTTGTAGGGGGGAAAGTTTTTAATGTTTTTCCCTTTCTTTTGTGTTATATGTTCTGATGAACATAAATTTATAATTTACGGTTTTAGTTCATTGAGGTTTCTTTAGACATTATCTTAAATGCTGAGCTGACAAGTGTTACACTGTTGTGCTATCATTTTAATTTGTAGATGGAATGTTTCTGCTGGTGCTGCTCGTCCAAATCCACAGGGATCTTTCAAATATGGAGATATTACTGTGACTGAAGTGTTTGTGATCCACAATAGACCTGCAGAACTTATCGATGGAAAATGGCGAACTACGCTTAATGGAATTTCGTATTTAGCATCAGCAACACCTTTGATGCTTGCTCAGCAATTTGACATTCCTGGGGTTTACAAGCTTGATTTCCCAAATACACCGATGAACAGACCTGCAAAAGTTGACGCATCTATAATTAACGGAACTTACAAAGGTTTCATTGAAATCATACTCCAAAACAATGATACTTCTGTTCAGAGCTACCATATGGATGGCTATGCATTTTTTGTTGTGGGGTAAGATCTTAGTTGTTGTACTCTCTCTCTCTCTCTCACATAATTGGATAATCCTAAGTAAGTGTTTAATAATTTCCCATTTGGAATCTAGCATGGATTACGGAGTGTGGACAGGGAACAGCAGAAGTACTTACAACAAATGGGATGGGGTTGCTCGCTCCACTACTCAGGTAACTCTTTTCTAAAATCTTGACTTTTAGTGCTTTTGAATGAAGCAAATTGTTGAATTAAGAGATTTCACCCCAAAAAGATTTGATCCCTCTCTATTTTGGGAGGAAAAGGAAGATAGTCTCAAATCAAAATCAAATTTGAACTTGATAAACACCATCTCTATAGTGCACAGCCTTTTTTATTTGTTTAGGCACCGGTCTTGTCTTTTGTTTCAGCTCCTCCTTGTGTTGTTCAAGTCTGTTGTTAATTTAACTTAAATTTTATCTACTTAAATGGTTTCATTAAGGTCTATGGGGGGTCTTAACAGCCAACTTCATTTCTCAATCAATTTCAGGTATTTCCTGGTGCTTGGACTGCCATTTTAGTCTACCTTGACAACGCTGGCATTTGGAACCTCCGTGCAGAGAACCTGAACACATGGTACCTGGGCCAAGAAGTTTACGTGAGCGTGGTGAATCCAGAGATCACAGAAAAAACCGAGCTTCCCTTGCCTGATAACACCATCTACTGTGGCGTACTCTCTGCCTTACAGAAGTAAGATATCAGCACAGCTACATTCTCTCAACACTCTGTTTCATTGGCAATTAGGTTAACAAAATTCAAAGGAAGTTCTCTATGATCAATTTTGATTGAAAACCTGTCTTGCACCTAGTCATTTTCTCAGAAATTCCTGTTTTTTTCTTTTCTCTTTTCCCTCTTGCAGGGACCAGGCTCAGAGAGTTAAGTTCTCTGGTGCACCGGCTGTTGCTAAAACAACTGGAACAGTTCTGGTTGCACTTTTTGTAGCTGTGATTGGAGGTTTCACCAGGTAGTTAATTTGCAGAAATATATGGGCATTATAAATCAATAAAATCGGCGTTATTTGTTCCTGTGAAAGGTGACAGCAAGGGGAGTGTATAGATGATGTTAGATTGATCATGTATCATTATGTAATTTTATGGTTTATTTCATGATATTGAAGTACTAAATAGTCTGCACAATAGGAGATGAACAAGGTGAGTTGTTGAATTGTACAAGAGTAAGACTGCCAAAAAAAAAAAAGGAGAGAGAAGAAGAAGAAGAAGAAAAATCTTGTGGCATGCCACATTTTGGTTTTTTTGTTGTTTTGGTTTTAAGGCTAAAAATTCAAAAACAAATTGGACATGTTTGGTTGGCCACAAAGCCGGCTTTTGAGCTTTTGTAATTTTATTTGATACCAAATGGGTCACTCGTAGAATAACCAAGCTTCAAAGTTCCTGTTGATGCTGCCTCCAATATATTCTTTCATCTCTGATTTCCACAAATTTTTTTTTTTGGAACTTATTTCTCCATTTTTAATTAGGCAAGATTCATGTTCTTTACCCTTCGTTTGAAATGTGAGTTGGTTTTCTGACTTTTTAGTTATTTTAGTTTGAGGTTAAAAAATTTCGTTTGAAATGAACTTTTTGATTTTTGTGACTTTGTGAAAGAAAAAATAAAATGATTATGGTTGGAATATAACATTTTGTTTCATTAATTTTTTAATTTATTTTGGGACAATTTTGGAAGCTAGCTTTGAACTTTTAACTCATTTTAAGTGCCGTTTTGGCAAGCTTGGCAAAACGCCACGTTTTTTATCAATTGGAGAAAAAAGCTTCCGGCCAAAAACACCATTTTATTCATTTGGGAAATCAAAAAATGCAACACTTGAAATTATAACTTGGGCCTATGAGAAACAGTAAAAAGTAAATATTAGGTAAGGATATTTTGGTCATTTTAATTTGATTTGATACCATAAACAAATATTAAACTAAAAAATTAAAAGTCAGTTTTTTATCAATTTTTCAAATCACTTTTCAAAAAATTAAAAAGTTTTAGCTTTTTACCAACTTTTCAAAATATTCTTAAGTCATATTATTTTTCATATTTTTTACACACAAAAAGATAAAATTAAAAAAACTCTATTTTTAAAAATTTCTTAAATCAATCCAAAAATTTTGGCCAGGCCACATAGCCTTAGAAACCGAAGTTTTAAGTGGCTAAATTGGGTTGATAAAGTGAGGGTTTTTTTTATTATTATTATTATTTTGTTTTGTTTTGAACCAAGTTGATAAGTTTGGTTGAAAGGTATTTTATGCATCATGTCTGAGTGGTGGGCCAATCAATGCCAGTGGTATCTTTGGAGATTTTTTATGTTTGAATTTTTTTTATTTGGACAAATTACATATACCCTTCGAGATTTAGTAAAATCATAAATATTCTCTGAAGTTTGAGAATTACAGATACTCCTTTAAAAATAATATTTACATAATAAATTAGGGGGTAAATTATTATGAAAATATAAATTTTAGGGGTTAATTTGTTATGAAAATATAAACCTCAGAGAGATATCTATAATTTTTGAAACCTCAGGAGGTATCTGTAATTTAACTAAACCTCGAGAGAGGTATATATAATTTGCCCTTTGTATTTTGAATTTATGAAGAAAAAAATTACGGGTTTAATTTTTCTGACAAAATCAACATAAATATAAGATTTTGACAAATGCTTTTATTTATTTTTTTTTGGTTCTTTTGATTCTCCTATTCCAAATAAAATAAATTTAACTTTATTTAACTTTTATCTTCTTTTTACTATTATAATGTCCATGTGTATATCAACTCTAGTACAATCTAGTCCATCATCACTCCAATACACAAGCAAGCTTGTATCAGTATTGTTTGGCATAAAATTACAAGATTAAAATAATCTTAAAAAGATAAAATGAATTAAAAAATTAATAAAATAAAACATTACATTCAAATTATAATCACTTTATTTATTTTTTTATTTTATATTATCGGTGATAATATGGTGCTCTTTTCTATATTTCCCCATAAGGCTACATTGTCACATCTTTACGTGACCATTTGCTTTTTTCTCTGGCTATCTCTTTATATACAATATTTGTTACACTAATATTTCAGGTCTCGAGAGTTTCAAGTGTGAATTTGTGATCACTGGACGACCAGGTGAAGTATTTATCTATCACGATTGTCACATTATTCAACCGTAGTTATCATCCTCTTTGCCGGACGACCGATCGAACGACCGATTAAACAAATTCGAGACAAATTCACACCTCAATATTTGAGGCCTGTAGCGCGACTCTATCTGTTAATCCTTCAAAGACGTCATGATAACTGCACCACCACCCACATTATGTTATGTTATGGGTATGGTGTCTGTCCAATCCGGGATCAGATTGGACCGTGTTGTTGGGCCCGTGAGAGCCCACCACTGGTCCCATTTTGATAATTTGAACCGTTCAATGTGTAGAACTCATCGAGTACTATATGCCTGTAAAAAATCACATTGATCGGATATCGATAGTTATATGATCAAATCAGTTTCGTATTAAAAAAATCGGATGGTGAACAAATTAACGGTTGACAAAAAACTATTTTGATCACATACCTACCGATATTCGATCAACATGATTTTTTTAAAACATATAGTACTCCATGATTTTTACACATTGAACGATTCAGATTATCAAAACGGGACTCATAATAGACCTTCACAGATCTAATAATACGATTTAATCCAATCCCACAAAAGCCATACCCATTACTATATTATTGATGTACAGTCAAATTGACAACAATAGCATTACATTGTCCCATGATATGATATGAAGTGGGGTAACGAGGAATCATCAGTCATGTCAAACCATATTTTGCGGAATTCCTTTCCGTTCCACTTTTATTGAGGTATACAAAAGTGGCTCTTGCAGGCCCCGTCACCAAAGTTAATGTGTTTAAATATAATAAATTAATTTTAAATAAATTTTTAATAAATTGAGTTCGAATCGTTTTTTATTTTTTATTTTATATATAAACTTATTTAATTGAATAGTAGATTGTATAAATTTGATTTAAAAACTTAACAAGTTAAAATTTGTATTTATATTTAACTTATTTATATAACGAATTGATTAGTAAGATTCGTCTAAAATTCCATATGAAAATTTAATTTCTAAAATTTGTAACCTCAATGTGATTCTATATAAAAATTTTAAAATTTAGTTATAGATAATGCAGCAATGGTAGGTGGTTACAAATTCTGTGGCTCGAATGGCTTGAAACACCCAAAACGACGTCGTTTTGAATGTAAAACAATACAAAACGACGTCGTTTTACCAATTTCAGATCATTTGAACTACAGATTTTGTAGCCCTTAAATATTTTTCTAGATAATGTAGGGCAGAAGATGATTCGAATCCTATGAAGAAAGCAGTATCACATTTTGTTACGGCAGTGAAAGATTAAACGCATGCTAACATGGAACACAGTTGTATTTTTTTTTGTTTCTTTTTTCTTTTTTCAATCCAAAATACAATTTATTTCTAGTTTAATTGAGTACGTGGATTAATTAATTAGGACATTTAGTTTAGTGATGGTATAATATTCTTTGTGGTTATGTCAAGTTCAACGCCTTATGTCTAGTTAGTGGGTAGTGGCAGAGCACATAGGGATTAGGGGGGTCAGGTGCCCCATAGATTTGCAAAGTCTTTGATGACATGAAATTAGTACTAGGGCAAGCAGTGGCCTTCTGTTTGCAAAATTCTTAGGGAAAGGTTGGGTGCTAACTTGCAAATTTAAGCTGCTATTGTAGAATCACTGATCTTTGGGATGCTGTCTGGAATACTTATTGCTCACTTATTGGTGGTTTTAGGCTAAAGCAAACCAAACCAAATCAAGCCTTAACTCCTATCAAACGAGACTGGCTACATGCAGTGGCGGAGCTACATGGAGGCCATGGGGGGTCACATGCCCCTCCCCCTGGTTTTGGATTTACAATTTTTTTTAGTTTTTTTATATATGTATATAAATAAAATCTTAAACAAAAATAATATTTAGAATAAAATGTCAATGGCATTTCTAAATTTATGAGAACAATAGTGATTATTTTATTGAAAATGAAGGACTACAACAAATTATATTTTTATGTATGAAAATTTTGTGAAAAAATCTCAATATAAAAGTAATATCCATCATTATTGATATGCAAATATAATTAATCTCACTATATATATGTAAAAATTACTATAGTGTTAGTTCTATTTGCATGTGGAGTTCACTCTTCATATGTTATTTTACTATTGGTTGGTGATATCGTATGTCAATAATGGCGTGATATCACTATTATATGAAATTTTTACTCAAATTTTGTAAAAAATTGATTTATCTTACCATTAAATAATTTATTTTACAACTTAAATATACGACTTTTTTACATTGTCCATGATACACTAGTTATGCGCAATACTTTCTTTTCGATTTTACTTGAAATTAATTATAAAATTTAATGTGAAATACTTTTGTAACAATTTATTTAATTTTTTGTACTTAATATTAATTCAAAAATTATTATTATCTTCTTATTGTTGGTTATGAAAAAAAAAAAAGAAAAAAAAAAAAGCTGTAATTAATAAGTGTCCCTACTGATTTAATTTCCTAACTCCGCCACTGTTAGTAGGGGCCATTAGGTTTGGGCTTAGTGGGTTTAGTATATTAATTGTATTAAACTTTGTTAACTTTCTAGTTATTGTGTGTAATAATACTCTTTGTAGTTGTGTCGAGTTCAATTTATATAAAGAGAAATTTGATACCCTTATTATGGGAGTTGTATCTAGTTAGTAGGGATTATTAGGTTTGAGCTTAATAAGTCTAGTATATTGGGTGTGTTAAACTTTATAAATTTTCTAATTACTGTGAACTAGTAATCTCTAGTCTCATATCAATTGACCAAAAATCTTTTAAAAAAAACAAATAAAGAAACGGTGGATTGATTCACAATTCAAAATGAAATTCTTTAACCCAATCTCACTTGTGTTTTAAACCAATAACTCATAACTTAAAATTCTATTTTGTTCACACATTAGTATGATCAAAATATAAATTTTAGGTAAAGTTAATATACATATATATATATATATATATTTTGTAATAAGAACTCAATTTTATATCAATTAGATCATTTCTAATTATTCACAATTTTTTTCATCAAATTTAAATTAATTTGATGAAAAGTGCCAAAAAAATCATCTTCAATCATTTCATCAATCCTTCATCAAATTTAAAAAATAAAACATTAAAGATGCATTTTTTTCGTTAAATTTTAAAAATAAAAGGAAAATTTGGAATAAAAGGAAAAAAATTTAAAAATTTAATGAAAGAATTAATTTTTTTACTAAAATTAATATATCAATTAACTTTTTACTAAAATTAATTGTTACTAATTAACTTTTACTAAAATTTGAAGACAAATTAGGTTAAAAAAAAAAATTTCTGATTAGTATACTAATCACATATAATCAGCTTTGAAAAACGGCTTTCAATATAATAATAAGTATGTGATTATATGCTCAGAGTTTTTTTTTCAAAGCAAAGCTGAAAGCATGTTTTTTTTAAGTAGAATCAAAGCTGAAAGCATATAAATTCTATTGAAAGCTTTGATTATATGCTCTGATTATATATGATTGATTTAAAGAATGCTCTGATTATATATTAATACATTAAAATAAAATATATACCAATTAATACATGCAACCCCACTCTTTTCTCTTTCCTTAACCGTAAATTACATGCAACAAGTGGTCTCTACCAGGGCTGTTTTCCTTTTCTTTCTCTTGCCTTTTAAGCAAACAAACAGACTACTACTTGGACCAGCATCACTGAGTCACTCAACTCCACGTCACTTTTTATTTTTATTATATATAGTTCTCATAATCAACAATAGTATGCTTATTAATTGAAACAAATAACAAGAAGCCTGTCTCTGTGAAAACCAGAAGCCATGGCCAAGATTACTAATGTAGTCAACACAGTGAGAGTCCTAACTTACATTGTCCTGAGCTTGAGCTTTGTGTTGATAGAATCAGCACCTGAAGGTGCACTGGTCACACAGGTTCCTGGTTTCAATGACACTTTTCCTTCCAAACACTATTCTGGGTATGTCCCTTTCCTATTCATAATTTTCCTTCTTGATTGTGATGGGTCTTTATTGGTATTTCTATTTGTTCTTTAATTGGTGTTCAATTTTTATAGGTATGTGACCATAGATGAAGCTCATGGGAAGAAACTGTTTTATTACTTTGTCCTCTCCGAAGCCAATCCCTCCAATGATCCAGTCGTCCTCTGGCTCAATGGTGGCCCTGGCTGCTCTAGCTTCGATGGATTCGTCTATGAGCACGGTATTGATTCCATCAAATTCATTTTTTACTGCACTTATTTTATATATTTTTTTTTTTTCTATTATTTGCTTTTTGGGAAAACTTGATTGTGAAGCTACTAGTTAATTTTGTGAATCAATGAAACTGGTTGGATTCTTCAGATTGGAAAATTCATTGGACTGAGATGATGATCATTCATTTGGCTCGCATACACAATGATCGTTCCTTTACAATGGTTAATGACAAATTTCATTTGCGGTGTATTTTTGATTATTTAGTCAGTCAGATATTTCAGAATGGATATTTGGATGGAATTACTATTCCATTCTACTTAACCAAACACTACCTAAATGTAAGAATGTTTAGCTGATATTAACACCCACCCATTTTAGGAATCTTGAGTAAACGAAAATTTTGTAAGTCTTTTTTCTTATGGATTGAGTCTATTTTGTTTCCAAAGTCACTCAAATATTTCAGAATATGATGCCCTATTTGGTAATTTTCTTTATGATTTTGGTTTCTTTTGATTCAAATGTTATTGCACTCTGAATTGAATAAAAACACCTCCAGTTTGGTTTAGGCTTTTCTGGTTCAGCTGCTTCAAGTGGGCTAACTTTCATGTTCCATGGATTGAGAATTTGAGACAAATCATTCTCTTTGTTGTACCGTTAAATATCATAAAATTGATTGTTTGCTCTTCAATTCCAGTAATTTATAACTAAATCTTTCAATCATATTATGCAGGACCATTCAATTTTGAAATGGGAAAGACAAAGGGAAGCCTGCCCAAACTGCATCTCAATCCGTACAGCTGGTCCAAGGTTATATATGACTTGTTTCGAATGTTCATTTTTCAATAGAACTTTTTATCGCTCATGTTTCTTAAATCCGCTCTTTAATGGATGACCTTTTCCTGTCAGGTTTCCAACATTATATATTTGGATTCCCCGTCTGGCGTTGGATTTTCTTACTCAGCAAATGAATCCGATTACGTTACTGGAGACCTGAAAACTGCTTCTGATTCACATGAATTTCTCCTCAAGGTAACATTTGAATATTTTGAAACAAAGAACAAGAAAATGTGAACTCCTATAAAGGTTTGGTTTGGTGTATTGATTGTACTTATAGTTGTTGTTATTATGTTAAAATGTTCACATATCTGGAAATTACTGTTGTGTTTTTAGTGGTTTGCGTTGTACCCGGAGTTCCTCTCCAACCCATTTTTTATTTCTGGAGAGTCATATGCAGGAGTATATGTGCCAACTCTGGCTTATGAAGTAGCAAAAGGTATTTTCTTCCAATCTATGAAGTTCACAAGTGTTGCGAATTTGGATCAAAGTCTAAGGTGCATTTTTGGATCTTGTACAGGAATTGATGCTGGTGTAAAGCCCATCCTCAACTTCAAGGTACGTCTTTTCTAGAACTTCACTAAAGCGGTGGTCAAAGTTCAAGTTATTGCTTACGATTAAATATTTCAAACAGGGTTATACGGTGGGAAATGGAGTTACTGACGATGAGTTTGATGGCAATGCTCTTGTTCCATTTGCACACGGGATGGGCCTCATTTCAGATGAACTATTTGAGGTAATTGAGCTTCCTTCTCATTCTGATCTAGAATATTTATGCTAGTTTCATCGACCTCTCTGCCCATATATGCCTTCATTGTTTCATGATAAATTGTTTGAAGTTAAGTTAATTTCCAGGATCTTGAATTTGATGGAAACTTTGAAAATTTTGATGCTTTGTTTCTCAACTGTCGCTTTAATTAAGATTTTAGCATTTTCAATGTGTTGTGTATACATACAAATATACTTGTAACTTGTTTTAGATACTGCTCTACATTTAACTGCCTCGCATAGAATTGTGATCAACTTTTTGTCTAATGTAATATCAGAGCAACCAATGGAAACCATAGGGAATAACTATGTCTAAAGAACAGCCTGCTGCTGAGCTTGCTGCTCGTGAATGTTACTCATAATAATATTACCAAACTTAGCTAGGAGTTCAGTAAGGGAAAGAATAGGCTGTCTCTCCATGGGTTATTTTATTTTTATTTTTTTCTGCTCTGCCCCCCCTCCCCCCAACAAAAAAAAGGGAGACTAGTTCTTGCTCTCCCAACAATCAGGAAGACAGAAATCGCAGGTTGGTTTAACCAAGAAAGGCATGGGAGTCTTGGGACATGGAATACAATACACTCTTTTCGATGAAGTACACAAGGTGTGGTACACTGAACACCAACCCAATCTCGATGAAAAGAAAAAGAGAAAACTTCAAATCGCCTTTCTCACAAACCGGCCATAAACGGCTCTGGTTTTTTGGAACTCACTTTCGAACTTGTTCAGAATAGATCTACTATAAATCGGAGACCGGCCTTAGTAAAGGCACTTTTGGGTGAGATTTTTCGATCTTTACATACGATAATAAGCTAGACCAAAGGAAGCTACTTATACTGCGAAAACTAAAACAAACTAAACCATAGGGAATGACTAAAAGCTGATTTCTGATTTATGTGAAAGAAGGTAAACCTTGTACCATAGGATTTGTTTTTAGTCATTTCATCTTTAATCTAGGGAAACATTACTTGTTAGACCAATTAGACCAAAAAAAAAAAAAAAAAATGTAGAGGAGAGGAAAATTACTGTCGCAATTTTGGATTTAAGATGTTTGTATCTCTGAGGTTGCTACTATTTGAACCAACTATTCATGTACATTTTATCTACGGAAAAATCTTCCAATAACCAATTAGTCTGCACAAAATTTAGAGTATTCAACTAAAAACTCAAAAAAAATCAACCTTTTGGGATTTTATCTCAAAACAACCCGATTTTGAGACGGTGACAAAATTTAGAAGACAATTCCTTTATATCTAATTTCTCATCCTGTGTACTGCAGGAAGTTACTGCTGAATGTAAAGGAAACTACTATAATCCTGCAAGCACCAGCTGTGAAAAGGTACACTGAACACCAACCCAATCTCGATGAAAAGAAAAAGAGAAAACTTCAAATCGCCTTTCTCACAAACCGGCCATAAACGGCTCTGGTTTTTTGGAACTCACTTTCGAACTTGTTCAGAATAGATCTACTATAAATCGGAGACCGGCCTTAGTAAAGGCACTTTTGGGTGAGATTTTTCGATCTTTACATACGATAATAAGCTAGACCAAAGGAAGCTACTTATGCTGCGAAAACTACAACAAACTAAACCATAGGGAATGACTAAAAGCTGATTTCAGATTTATGTGAAAGAAGGTAAACCTTGTACCATAGGATTTGTTTTTAGTCATTTCATCATTAGTCTAAATCTAGGGAAAAATTACTTGTTAGACCCAAAAAAAAAATGAGAGGAGAGGAAAATTAGTGTCGCAATTTTGGATTTAAGATGTTTGTATCTCTGAGGTTGCTACTATTTGAACCTACTACTCATGTACATTTTCTCTGCGGAAAAATCTTCCAATAACCAATTAATAAGTCTGCACAAAATTTAGAGTATTCAACTAAAAATTCAACCTTTTGGGATTTTGTCTCAAAACAATCTGATTTTGAGACAGTGACAAAATTTAGAAGACAATTCCTTTATATCTAATTTCTCATCCTGTGTACTGCAGGAAGTTACTGCTGAATGTAAAGGAAACTACTATAATCCTGCAAGCGCCGACTGTGAAAACAAGCTTGTGAAAGTTGACCAAGTAAGATATTTCTCTCTACTAGTGCATAGTCGTATCATTTGCTTTTTAATTTTTATTTTTTTCATTTGCTTTTGTATTATGTCTAAACGCAGAACATCCAAGACCTTAACATATACAACATTCTAGATGAATGCTATCATGGCATGGAAGCTACGAAGACCACAACTGGTAATACGAAGTTGCCATTGAGCTTCAGGAAATTAGGCGAGACTGAAAGACCCCTTCTTGTGAGGAATAGAATGTTTGGCCGTGCGTGGCCTCTTAGAGCTCCAGCAAGAGATGGAATTGTTCCAACTTGGCCACACCTTCTCAACAGTAATAATGTCCCATGTATCGTAAGTCACTCAAATTTTTACCCTTTTTGATCTTTTCATTCAGCTGGTTCGTGTAGCTTGGTTTCTTGAACGTGAACTTTTGAATCATCAGTGATTTTTTTAGTAAAAGTAACATGTCAGCAGCAGCACATGCCTCGTTACAATATTTGAGCATCGGCATTTCTTAAAAGATTTCATCTAGCTCCTGCTATTATTTGTGGAACATTTGTCCTCTACTTCTGTCTAACCACTCTGCTTAGTTCATGCTATAACCGTTCTCTTGGGAATTAGTACACATTGTCCTTGGTTTCAGCTATGTGGTGGGCGGTTGATTCTATTTTTCTCTGTCGCGTCATGCTTGGCTCCTTCTTGGACTTAATTATAAAACTATCACATGATTGGAATTCAATATACAGGATGATGAAGTTGCAACTTCATGGCTCAACAATGAATCAGTTCGGAAAGCAATTCATGCTGAACAAGTAAGATTTGAAAATCTCAATTTCTGCAATTTTTTAAAGAAAAGAAAAAAATTATGATCCCTGTAATACATTAGGCAAGTGTGGCTGGCGGTTGGGAGTTATGTACAGACAGAATTCTATTTAATCATGATGCTGGAAGCATGATCAAGTATCACAAGAACCTCACTGCCAAGGGATATCGGGCACTCATTTATAGGTAGATCAACAACTGAAACATTATTTACTACTCTAGACCTTGCCTTATATCCTTGGTTTATTTGCGACCATTTGGGTTGGATTGGCTGTAAATTCCAAAATTTCTTCCTTCTCTTCTTCGGACTTTACATCAACAAAATGGGATAATGTTATTTTCAAAGTAAAATGACTGATCTAGCCTAATTATTGATGAATATTGTATGATTATGGCAGTGGAGACCATGACATGTGTGTTCCATACACCGGGAGTGAAGCATGGACAAGATCGGTTGGATATAAGATTGTCGATGAATGGAGGCCTTGGGGATCCAATGGACAAGTTGCTGGGTATGTCAGTACTGTGAAAGTTTCATTGTCAATTAGCAAGAACATGATTATGCACACCATGAAATTCATTAATTCATTCCTGAAGTCTTTGAAGCAAATAAAATTATTTCTTTCTAATTAAACAGTCTTAACTAACTCTCTTCTGTTGCAGATACGTACAAGGATATGAGAATAATCTTGCCTTTCTCACCGTAAAGGTTTGTACATGCGATAAACCTGTCATCTAACACAAACTTAACTGTTTTTTGTTTTTTTCTTTTCCTGTCATTGTTGAATTTTATTTATTTATTTTATTTTATTGTTGGCGCAGGGATCTGGACATACCGTCCCAGAGTACAAACCACGCGAAGCATTGGATTTTTATAGCCGTTGGTTGGCGGGAAAATCAATATAAAAGAATCTTAATGGATTTTCTTTGAGAGAAGAGGGGTGGTAATATTATTTGATGTATTTTATTTTTCCAGGCTATGGACTACAAAATAGGGCATAATTGCTAAATTATATTTAGTCAGAATAGTCAAAATTTAATGATTGAATGAGGGAATAAATTATATTTATTTTTCCAACCTAGTATAGCAATTTCCATGTATTATTGGACTAAGAGCAATGATTGTGATTGGTCTATGTATTATTTACATAGGGGTCAGTATTATTTACACAAGGGTCAATCAAATCTCAAGAGGGGTCAGTATTATTTACCTTTTTTTTTTTTTAACAGTGCATCAGATTTGCTCAAATGTTATTGATAACGAGAAAGACATATGGCACACAATGTGTATACCATGTGCACCTTTTAATTATAAAAAAATAAAAATAAAAATTATATAATTTTATATTTTTTGAATCATAATTAAAAAAAATAAAAGATATCATAATCAAATACAAAAAAGTTATAATTAAAATTTCAAAATAATGTTATAATTGAAAAAAAAATTGATCATAACTAAAGAAGAAAATGACGTAACTAAATGTGCATATGTTGTATGATGTGCATAATAGAATTCTCCATTGATAATAATCTTTTTAATCGAGCAAAACACCACATATATAGATACCTCTCGACTTTTTAATAATTTAAGTAAATTATAAATACACCTTTTAAGGTTTGTTTAAAAAACAGATTGTTCTTTGTGATTTAAAAAATTATAATATCCTCTTAATAGAATTTTTTATTTAACAAAATTAACTGAAAAAATAAAATTCTTAACTGTTTTCCTATATAATAATAAAATTACTTGAATTATTAATTAAAATAAATTTCTAATATCATTAAAATTTGTTAATTAAGTTGGTAATTTATTAATAAAATAGGTTATTTATTATGAAATTAAAAAATTTAAGAGATGGAATATAATTTTCAAAACTATATAAGGATAATTTATATTTTAAATAAATTACAAGAGCATTTTGTAAATTATCCTAATAATTTTCATGTCAGCTGAAAAATGATTTTGAGTAGTATTTTCATCATGTTTGCAAGGAAAGAAGAAATTAGATGATGCCCATTTTACTAGGTGTGGCCATTCATCCGCTGTGTCGGATTTGGTTTGCGTTGTACTATCTAATAAATTTTTTTTCCTATTTGTCTAAGTCCGTTCTGTTTGAACATTAGATTTATATAATCATTCTAAATCCAATTTTAATAGAAACTATAAATTTCAAATCAGTCCATTGGACCGTATACATAAGTTATTAAAAAAATAAATAAACATTATGGTACCTATTATTTTTTCATAAATAAATAAAAGCCTATCAAACAACTAACAGTTAAATATTCAATACCATATTAATTAAAATATTATAAAAAATTTTAAACCAAACACACCCATAATTAAATAAGCTTAAAATTTTTAAAACCAAACAATTAATAGTACATCAAACTTTAAAAAAAAAAAATATTCATGGTTTAAATTTCAAACTTCTTTTTCTACTTCATTATCATCTTATAAAGAGTTAGAATCACCATTAACTATTGTTTCTGATGATTATCAACAAATAAATTATTAACGTCAAATAAAAACAAATTATACAATTAAAAGGGTATATATATATTTAATATATTATATAAATTAATTAATTTACTAAATTAAATATGCAGCGGACCTAATTGGAACAGAAATACAATTCTCAAACCTAATTCATTTATTAATCAGGCTGAAAATATTAACCCAATCGAGTCCTATGATTATATTCTCCACTCCAAATTCTCAAGGAGGTTCCTTGGGGAGTGGACGTAGGCCTGGCGTGCCGAACCACTATAAATCGCAGTGTTTGATTTTTTCTCTCTCTATCTCTTCTACATTTATATTGATAATTATTATTCTGTTTGTTTTTATTTATTCAAATTCTGAATATTGTGTTATATTTAATATTGTGAAATTTTTAATAACCCAATTCACCCCCCCTCTTGGGTTGCCTAACTGGGATAACACATATGAAATTAGATGTTTTGAAAAGTTGGTAAAAAACTGACTTTTGGCTTTTTTACAAGTTTTTTGACTTTTTTTAAAGTGATTTGAGAAGTTGGTAAAAAATTAACTTTTTTGATTTTTGATTTAATATTTTTTTAAAGTGTCACATCACTTCAAAATGACTAAAATATCCTTACTTTTTGATTTTTTAATTAATTACTTAAAATGTTCCAGAGGGTAGTTTGGTAAATTTAGGTGTTGCTTTTTTGAGTCTTCTCAAATGGAATTTTTAGCGTTTTGGGATGGTTTGGCATTTTTGAGCTGCAAACAAAACGTAATTTTTTGTGTGTTCCAAAACGGTACAATATTAATTGGGCCAAATTAAAATTAAAAATAATAAATAAATAAAATTAAAATAAAACAAATATAACAAATAATTTCCACGTTAATTAAGCAACAATTAATAAAAAGATTTGTAAATATTTACAAATATTGCTAAAGAAATGGAATAGGGTCATCTGTACGTCTAAGCTTGAGAAGGGAGTGATTCATCACTTAGAGACATCATGGAAGGGTGAGTCATCAACAGCCAACCATGTGTAAAAATAGGAAGGGGGTGCTGTGAAGTTAGGGTCAAAAAAAAAAAAAAAAAAAAAAAAAAAAAAAGCCAACACACAAAAAAAAAAAAAAAAAAAAAAAAAATAAAAAAACACTAATGCATTAAAAAAGTAAAAAAAAAAAAAAAAAAAAGCCTCCAAGCAACATAAAAGAAAAAAAATAAGAAAATGCTAAGGGTCAATATTAAAGTGATTTATAATATATTTTGAGTCACAATAATATATTTTACGTATGTTTTGATTTATCATAATTTGTTTTATACAAGTTATATTTTATGAGTTATATGAATACAAGTTATATTTTATAAATTATATTAATATTTACGCGGATTAATTTCTGAACTCTATTTGTTTAAAATGAAATCCATTGATATGTTTGTTTAAATTTTAAAGAATATTTGACTATGACCTTATAAACAATTATGTTTTGTAAGTACTACCACGGGAGTCATACGTCTTGAGGGACTTAAATAACCATTGGCATTTGGCCACTTTGTAATTCTCTGTTTGTCATTGATCCATTGACCTCTGTTCTGACTGTCACTTCTGTGACCTCTGTTCTGTATCATGATTATGGTTATTTGTTTATATAATTTATTTATTTCAGTTTTCTGCCACTTAAATGATTTATTTACCAAATTAAGTTATGTAATTGTTTTGACTTAACTAACTATCCATGATTATTTTGTATTTCTTATACTCTTGACATAATATTTCTTACTCTACTATGTGCTTATAGCAGTTACCCTTTTAGGTGATGAGATATAAGGAGGACTCATAATCTCATGTAGTGGAACCTATGCAAGAAATTGATACGGATCCGTTAATTTATTTTTCTTTTCTTTTCTTCGTATCTTTTTTTTTTCTGATGGCCGATCACTGCATAATAAAATAATAAAAGTCTATGGATGTACTATTTTTTTTAGTAAGATGAAGTAACTTTCTGTTTAATTATTTTTATTTTCATTTATCTCCGCTTGTGTAGTTTAATTTGCTACAATTAGAATAAATTAGTAAGTTGCGATTTTAACCTTAAGCCCCTGGGGTCGGATCGTGACACATTTTCTTCAATTTGTCTATTTTTTCAAGCGTCACTATCATGCTCATAAATATAAGTGAATAATAGTACATATTACCTTCTTTTTTTATTTATTTTTTGAATAGTACATATTATTAAGGTTGTACAAAATATCGCTTAATCCGCTAAATCGTATCTTGATCCGTATCAATCCGCACCGCTTTAACGGCTAACCACGGTTTAAACTTTATTTATTTTATTTTATTGTTGGTGCAGGGATGTGGACATACTGTCCCAGAGTACAAGCCACGTGCAGCATTGGATTTTTATAGCCGTTGGTTGGCGGGAAAATCAATATAAAAGAATCTTAATGGATTTTCTTTGAGAGAAGAGGGGTGGTAATATTATTTGATGTATTTTATTTTTCTAGCCTATGGACTACAAAATGGGGCATAATTGCTAAATTATATGTTCCGTTTTGGTAACTTATCAAAAACGCAGCCTTCTTGATGCATTTGAATGAGGGAATAAATTATATTTATTTTTCCAACTTGGTATAGCAATTTTTATGTATTATTGGACTAAGAGTAATGATTGAAACCCTCACAAAAATTTCACCCACAATCCTCACATCATCCTATGTGAGACAAGAAAAAAATAAATAAATAAAAAATATATATATGTATATACATGGACCAATCACATATATTTGAGGATCAAAATGTTCCAAATTGGGGTTCCAAGCTTTTTCCATTGGTCTAAATTGAGCTTATTTATATGTTCACTGGCCTTTGCTCATACCCGAAGGTGATTGTGTTCCTATTTTCCAATTCCAATGTACATATGAAGCAGAACTTTTTTTTTTAGGGTAAATTACATATACACCTGTGAGGTTTGAGTTTAATAAATATCACTTTTAACGTTTGAAAAATTACATTAATCTTCCTATCATTGTAATTATTTAGACAGAATGAACATATTGATCTCATGCATTTTTTTTTGTTTTGTTTTACTTTCTCTATTTTTTTTTCTTTGATTTACGTTACTTTTTTTTTTAATGTAATTTCTTATGTTTTTCTATTAAGAGTTATTGCCTTTTATATAAGTAGGGAGTTTGTGAACTGAGACAATTAATCACAAGAGTAGAAATGTAATTTTCAGAATGTCAAAGGGTGGGATGTAAATGAATCAAATCTCAAGAGGATCTGTATTATTTACTTCTCTTTTTTTTAACAGTGGATCAGATTTGCTCAAATGTTATTGATAATGAGAAAGACATATGGCACACAATGTGTATACCATGTGCACCTTCTAATTATAAAAATAAATAAATAAATAAAAATGATACAATTTCATATTTTTTGAATCATAATTAAAAAAAATAAAAGATATCATAACCAAATACAAAAAAGTTATAATTAAAATTTCAAAATAATGTTATAATTAAAAAAATTAATCATAACTAAATGTGCATATGCTGTATGATGTGCATAATAGAATTCTCCATTGATAATAATCTTTTTAATCGAGCAAAACACCACATATA